CTGCATTAAGGAGAAAAAAGGAATGACTATTAGAGAAAAGCCAATGGGAAGGAAGACATGCCATTTGAGATGCGGATCTGCAATTAATTCCATTTTAATTCTGAATAGTGTTGGATTCAAGACCAAGAACCAAACTTTTGGATTGAATTCTGTCTATTAATCTACATTCCGGTAGTTGTCTGAAAAGTTTTGCTTTTATGTATTTATTTATAATACATACATACATACATAAATTTATTATAATAAATAAATAATAATATGAATTATAATTTATTTATTATAATATAAATATATTATTTATATTATAAAGAATACAATTATATAATATATTATTATATATTAATAATATAAATATAATATTATATACAATATACTTATTTATGTAGAATAATATATTATATAATGTTTATGTATAATAGGTAAAGGTATTAAGTCCAGTTGTGTCCAACTTTGGGGTTTGGTGTTCATCTCCATTTCTAAGCCGAAGAGCCAGCGTTGTCCATAGACACCTCCAAGGTTATGTGGCCAGCATGACTGCATGGAGCACCGTTACCTTCCCGCCAGAGCAGTACCTATTGATCTACTTATATTTGCATGTTTTCGAACTGCTAGGTTGGCAGAAGCTGGGGCTGACAGCGGAAGCTCACGCCACTCCCTGAATTAGAACCTGCGACCTTTTGGTCAACAAGCTTAGCAGCTCAGTGGTTTAACCCACTGCACCACTGTGGGCTCAATATTATATAATAATAATAATAATAATAATAATAATAATAATAATAATAATAATATATTATTATTATTATTATTATTATTATTATTATTATTATACATAAGGGGACTCAGAGTGGCTTACAAATTGGCAACAATGCAATGCTGTATAAGCAAACGTAAAAACAACAGGCAAATACATGAAAAATATACAAGTTAAGAAATAACATCTATGCATTAAAAACCAATTACATTTTTCATATCCATTTATTGCACTGAATTACCATATATACTCGAGTATAATCTGACCAGAATACAAACCGAGGCACCTAATTTTACCACAAAAAACTGGGAAAACATATTGACTCGAGTATAAGCCGAGGGTAGGAAATAGAGAAGCTACGGGTAAATTTCAAAATAAAAATAGATGCCAATAAAATTACATTAATTGAGACATCGGGAGGTAAAATGTTTTTTTAATATTTACATAAAACTGTAATTTGAGATAAGACTGCCCAACTCTGATTAAATTATTACATATCTTCAATGTAAATGTACTTACGTAAAATAATAAATGTAATAATAATAATGAATAGTGTAAAATAATTATTATTATTAATAATAATGTAAAATACTGTAAATATAATAATAATAGTAAAATAATACATGAAATAAAAATAATACTAATAACACAGTAAAATAATAAATAACCTTGACTCAAGTATAAGCCGAGGGGAGCTTTTTCAGCCTAAAAAAGGGGCTGAAAATCTAGGATTATACTCGAGTATATACAGTACTCTGGGAAGCCTTGGACCCACAACAAAGTTTTTAATTTCTTTCTAAAGGTTAGGAGGGAGGGAGCTGATCTGATTTTAATTATTTTTTAAATTTTAATTACATTTGGCCTACCCGTAGATTTTAAAGTGAGTTGTCCTATTGTTAATGCTTATGTTATTGTTTTATTGTCTTGTTTGCTTTTAATTGCTTGTATTGTTGTTGTTATTGCTTGTATTGTTGTATTCTGGGCTCGGCCGCACCGAGTCCCCTGGGGAGATGGTAGCGGGGTATAAATAAAGTTTATTATTATTGTATTGTTGAAGGCTTTCATGGCCGGAATCACTGGGTTGTTGTAGGTTTTTTCGGGCTATATGGCCATGGTCTAGAGGCATTCTCTCCTGACATTTCGCCTGCATCTACGGCAAGCATCCTCAGAGGTAGTGAGGTCTGTTGGAACTAGGCAAAGGGGTTTATATATCTGTGGAATGACCATAATAATAATAATAATAATAATTATTATTATTATTATTATTATTATTATTATTAATGTGGAGGGAGTTCCACATCTGAGGGGCCACCACTGAGAAGGCCCTGTCTCTCGTCTCCACCAACTGCCAAGCGAATTTGCATTCTTGAAACCAAGACATGGATTGAAATGCAAATATTTCCTTGTTTTCACGCTTTTACCCAGATTTCTACAGCGCAAATCTCTGATAAGGAGACATTTGGGAGACAACATTTCCCAAAATGAGCATTAGAATTGACTCAATAGGGTTAGGAGCCAGTGATCGAGACCCTATCCAGCCTAGAACCGCACTGGCTTTTGGAGAGTTCTCATTGGTGCTGCAGAGAAAACCCCGCCATCATCAGAGCTGGCTTTCCTAGAAGAGAGGCCTCCATTGATGTATTTTTGCTGGTTTTCAATTTGGAGAATGTCAGATTTGCACAGGAGGCAAAGGGAGTTTCCCCTTTCGGTTTCGAAGCAGTTTCCGGAACGGTGTGAACCTCCTCCCCAGAACCACATCCTTCCCTCCCAGACAATGCTCAGCCAACGGCCTCCGACTAAAACCCCCAAAGAAAAAAAGGCATGGATGGTTGAGTCCGTGGATACCGAGTCCCGGCTAGAACCTGAAAAGCCACCCCAAAACTCCCCCATTTTCACCACGTCCGTTTCGAAAGAGAAACGCATGTGCAAATTGAGTCCATTTTTAAATCTTACTCAGTGCCTTAGCGTTGTTTCTTGGCAGGTGGCAGATATGAAAGTCTCTGCGGACAACTGTCAACCGCCGAGAAACGAACCTTACAAGTTGTCGAAAATACTATTTATTACTTATTTATTTATTATGGAAATTTCTATGCCATCTTTCTCCAAAGGTTTCCCCTTGACATTAAGTCTAGCCAAGTCCAACTCTGGGGGTTGGTGTTCATCTCCATTTCGAAGCCAAAGAGCCAATGTTGTCCATACACACTTCCAAGGTCATGTGGCGGGCATGATCGCATGGAACACCGTTATCTTCCTGCCAAAGCGGTTCCTATTAATCTACACACATTTGCATGTTTTCGAACTGCTACGGTGGCAGAAACTGGGGCTAATAATGGGAGCTCACTCTATCCTGCAGATTTGAACCACCGACCCTCTGGTCAGCAAGTTCTGCAGCTTAACGGTTCAATCCACTGTGTCACTGCAACCCTTTATGGATATTTAAAAATATACATAGAAATGATTAAAAACCATAACTAAACAATTATTAGAGCAGTGTTTTTCAACCTGAGGGTTGGGACCCCTGGTGGAGGTCGTGAGGGGGGGTTTCAGAGGGGTTGCCAAAGACTATCAGAAAATACATGTTTCTGATGGTCTTAGGAACCATTTTAGCAGAGAAGGCTGAAGATCTCTCCGCCTCTCCTCATCTTCCTTTTTGGTGTTGGTGAACTACAACTCTCAGAATTCAAAAACAGCCCTCCACCAACCCCACCCGTATTCAGTGTTGGCCATGTAGGTAGTGTGCCAAGTTTGATGCAGATCCATTGTGGGCTGGGTTCAGAGTACTCTTTAATAATAGGTAAACTATAAATCCCAGCAACTACAACTCCCCAATGTCAAGGTCTATTTTCCCCAAACTCCACCAGTGTTCTCATTTGGGCATATTGAGTATTTGTGATAAGAGTGGTCTATATCCATCATTGTTTGAGTCCACAGTGCTCTCTGGATGTAGGTGAACTACAACTCCAAAACTCAAGGTCAACACCCATCAAACCCTTCCAGTATTTTCTGTTGATCATGGGAGTTCTGTGTGCCAAGTCTGGTTCAATTTCATCGTTAGTAGAATTCAGAATGCTCTTTGTGCCAGGAGATTTTAATTCCTTTTCTTGCACTGCTAGTTTGCATGAATTTATTTATTATTTATTTATTTACTTTATTTGTATACCACTCTTCTCAGCCCTTAGGCGACTCAGCGGTTTAGGCATACACTTAGGTATAACAATTTAGGTATACACAATACAAAATCATTAAGCATTTAAAAGCAATAGCATCACAAATCATTAAACATCAATATCAATACATCACTACATCAATATAACAAATCCATCAGGTCTCATCAATGAAATCAGAATCCAAACTCGTTATCCGATATTCCGTGTTCCGATAGTCAGTCAATCAATTACACTGCTTAGTCGAATGCCTGTTCAAACATTTAAGTCATGCATTTTGCAATAAGGTAGCTTCCCTCAGGTTGCAATCATAGGGCCAACAACTTGGCAATCATCGTTAGAATCTTGAGACTCACCCCTTTTCCCAGGGTTTTGGAGGGAAAGGAGGACTTTGTTCAGTCTCACTGTTGGAAGCCTAACAGAAGGATGTGTGGGATTCTCTTTCCCACCCGCACAAAAGTTTCTCTTCTCACAGCTTTTGCTGGGGGTTAAAGAAATAGTTCCACAGCTTTTGCTGGGAGTTAAAGAAATAGATCCACAGCTCTGCTGGGAAGTAAAGAAATAGTTCCTACAGCCATCGTGTAGAAACTAAAGAACACCTTTCAGCTTGGCAGATCTACAGGGACCTTGCCTGGTAAGGGACCACTTGGGCTATCCATAAAGCAGATTGGAGCCGGGAGTAGGGGCCTCACGTCAGCAAGGCAAAGAGAGATTGCCCAGTCAAAGGATTTCCCTAAGAAAGAAAGGAACAGTTTACCACCAGTTGCCTGCCCCTTGTTGGCAGACTGAGGAAGCTACCGGTTTTCCAAGGTTATAAAGTGTTTAATTCATTTGTTTGAAGATTTAAGCCCAAATAAAGAACTTGAGACTCAATAGAAGTTTGTGTTGGGAAATCTAAAGGGCCCTTCAGCTGAGGCACCCTGGCATCCCGTTGGGCATACAGAGAGCACATCCTGTAAACAGACATGATTCCAGGCTCAACGTGCGACAGCACACTCTTTGATTGTAGGTGAACTGTAAATCCCAGCAAATATAACTCCCTTATTATTTATTTATTTATTTGCTTTATTTCTATACCGCATTTT